GGGGGCTGATCATCGAGAGCCTCACACACCGTGGAGATGACCTCTGCACAGGGTGGTGGGGAGGGAACGGGGCACTGGCCTAGTTGGGTCAGAGAAGCCTCCATAAGGAGCCCCGGCTTCCAGATCCTCACTTCTTGGATCTTTTCTTACCTAACACCTCAAAAGAATGCTTTTCCAATTCCAGGAGCGTCCATGTCTCCCGCGAGCCCATTCGGAGAGCCTGGCACCTGTCTGAAAGCTCTTTCCCAGGGGCCTGTGCAGGCTGCGCTGTGTGGTGCACAGGCCAGGCTCAGCCCCCAGCTGCCTCCTCATACTGCAGACGGGGAACCGAGGCTCAGGGAAGCTACTGGACAGCCGTGGAGTGGAAGGGCAGCCCGAGCCCAGGCTTGCCTGTTTTAAAGCCAGTGGCCCACCCTGTAGAGCTACTTGGAAAAGGTGGAGAGGAAACAGGGCCAGTGGGGCCCCAACACACACCCCGAGTATAATTCAGGTGTCAGACTCCCTCTTTCCTGCAAAGGGGAGGTGATTTCTCCAGACAGCACTTCTGGGTCCCGTCCTGACCGTTCTAATCCTCACACATCCATCCCACACACTCCTGTCCGGCAGCATTAACCTTCCCCTCACTCCGGCACAAAAAACCTCCTCCAAGTAAGGGAGATTCAAGGTCCGTGATTCCTCGGGAGACAGGCTAACAGCCCTGCCCTCTCCTGCGGGCTGCACTCCCCGCCTGGGCCCACCTCTTTCCCACGGCCAAGCAGGGCAGCTGGCCCCACCTGCTTCTCTCCACTGGACAGAAGTCCCTTCCCGACCTGTGCACGTGTACACGCACACGCACAGGTGTTTGTCATCCTGGTCTCCTATGGCTCCTCCTTGTCTCTGGACTGCACACTCGTCCCTCTCAGGGAGCAGGCCCCTGCTTACCTGCAGCCTCTGACCCCCACCTCTGTTGACAGCCGCCCCATTGGGGGAGGATCGCATACATACCCCATGCCCACCAGACACGCCAGCAGCCTTTCTTCTCGGGTAGCATCAGTTCCTGCCGAAGCTCTGCTCACCGCTTTGGGGAGCCAGGGAAGTTCCTTTCCTTGAGGCTTCCTCCTCACTTGGAGACCAGAGCCAGGCTGTGCACCTGCTGGGGGAGCACCATCCACCTGACAGTCCTCAGACAGCAGCAGAGGTGTGGTCAGTGCCAGAGAGCCTGTTCCCCACCTGACGCCACAGCCCGTGCCTTGTCACGTGCACGCTGAATGCAGAGCCATGTGCACACGTGATCTTGGTGAAACCTCTCAGCCGCCAGGCCTCGCTTCCTCCACCTGTCACGTGGTGGGGTCACGTTTCCTCCCTTGCAGGATCACCCTGAGGGTGAACAGAGAACCCCATGTCTCGTCTGCTGGTCCCAGGCCCCATTCTAGGCACTAGAGGTACAACTATCAAGATAGACAAAGGCCTCAGGCCCCCAAGTGCCTGGTCCACAGCAAGCTCCCAGGTGCCCTGCAAGGTGTCCACTCCTTCTCACCCTCCCTCTCCCTCCCCACAGGGCCCACGGACCTCAGCATGAAAGGCGGGGCCTCCACCACCTCCACCACGCCCACCCCCACGCCCTCCAGCAACAGCACCAGCAGGACCATGCCCACCGCCCAGCTCAGCCCTACTGAGATCAGTGCTGTGCGGCAGCTCATCGCTGGCTACCGAGAGTCTGCCGCCTTCCTGCTGCGCTCGGCGGACGAACTGGAAAACCTCATTTTACAGCAGAACTGACCCAGCGGCACCTGGAGTGCACTACCCTCGGGAATGAGGCTGTCCCGCCTGACCCAGCTTCCTGCCTCACCAGTTGGTACATTTTGTTTTTTGCAAGAGGTGGGATCCGAGAGCTGTTTCTAGCCACACTCCAAGCACCTGAGACTTTGGGCACAAGGACACTTTTTTTTTTGGAATCTCACCACACAGGTGCTCTGACCTGCTTGGAAGAGGCCAATGGGGCAGCTTTGGAAGGGCTGGGCTCCCCTGACAGGGCGCTGGGGCCACAGCTCTAGTTAGATCATCTTCGTGGACCCTGATGTTAGAATCCCACTCCCAGATAATTACCTTTCAAGTCTTAGGTGAGCAGAATTGCATATTTATTGAGAAAAACAAAGTGGACCCTTTCTTCCTCTCCCCTTAGTAATTTATTTTTTTGAAAATGGATTCTTTTGTGTTTGTACAGATTGCCAGTCTGTGTCTGTCTGATCAGAAGGATGTCTCCCTGTGCCCTAACATTCCATATCACTACACTGGCGCGGGCCGGGCCGCAGGGCGGGGCGGCGGTGGGGCAGGCGCCAGGGGCTGTCCCTCTGAGTGCCCAGCACCACCAAGCAGGAGGACCTCACCCACACCCACTGCAAAGCAAAGACAAACACACGCCCCCTCCCCCCATTTCACAGAAGCCCCAGCCATGGCCACCTGTATTCTACCTCACACTCCAGCGGGGGCTTTTTCCAGGATGTGCCCCGAGCCTGCTCTGGATGGCTGTCTCCCAGCTCCCCCGCACGGGGTGTGTGCCTGGGGTGTAAGCCCGGCCCTCCCGGCTGCACGACAGGATGGAGACTGGGAGACGGAGGCCGGTCAGCAGAGTCCCGGCCCTCACCCTGCCCAGGGAGTTAACACTCCCCGCACAGACCCAGGCCCTCAGGCCCTTGCTGGGAAGACCCTGTTTCCTCAGGGTGAGCCTCTAGGTGTCAGGCAGCCACTGGCCAGGAGCGGTAGCTGGGCACCCCTGGACTGGCTTGGCTCCCGTCCCTGGCCCCGTGGTGAAAAATAAGGGACCATCATCCACCAGAGTAGCCAATTGGGTTCTAAGACCAGCCCTTCTGGAGGGACCAGTCCTGGAAGAAACCTCTCATCCCTGGAGTGTGAAAGGGGCAACAAGGAAAGGCTGGCCTGGTTTCCCTCCTCCCGATAGGCACTTCCTCTTGCTCAGTGCAATACCTACCAGTGCTGCTAAACCAGGGATTCGCCCAGACCTCAGCAGGCCCCCGGGCCTCTCCATGCAACACTCCGTAGCCATGACTGCAGCCTCCGCTGCCGCCCCTGCCCAGAGCTGGCAGAAGCCCTCTGTTGCCTTTCCTCCCTCAGAGCAAAGAGGCCCCAGGGAGCCAGGGCCGAGTGGACCCTGGGACGGCCACTGAGAGCCACCTGACCCCAGAGTAGGTATCCCTTCTCAAACCAGCTTCTCCGCAGCCAGCTGCCTCCTGGCACTGTGGCAGACCCCCCTCAGGAGGGGCGGGGAGGGCACTCCAGTGTGGGTGTCCCACCCTGTGCTGACGCCCAGCCCCTAGAGGCTGGGGTGGTCTTTTATCTCTCAAGTGGCCTCCAACACCCCATCTCACCACACCACCTCTGCCTTGCATCTGACCCATCCCCAGGCCTCTGGTCGGGGCCAAGACTCCCCCTTAGCACAGCACAAACTCCAGTGCCCACGGCCTCTCCCTCACCCAGCCATCCGCACAGCCATCCTCCACCTGCTCAGTACACTCCCTGACGTTTTAATTTGTGTAAATATTTATTTTTGTGTGTGAACAATATTACAAGGTAATCAGTAGATCTTTTGCAAAATGTTACCCCAGGCAATTTGTGAAATCTTAATGTTAAAAACTGGCAGAGACAATCGCCGCCTTAGAATTCTTGGTATCAATTGCTTAACATGTCATTTCTCCTCCCAGAGGCAGTACCCAAGCCAGGCATGAACGGTTTGCTTTTCTTAACAGCCAGGAGTGAGGAGGACTGGGGAAGGGGCTCCTGCGCCACCACACACGGGATCAGACCTAAAGATCACATAAGCTACAGTTTGAAGTCGCGTTTTTCTGTTTAGGCTGCCCTAACTGATCACCTGCAGCCAACCTAACGCTGCGGTAAGAGTGGAAGTTCCGTGTGTTAAAGAGAAAGGAAAGGGACGCCAGTGGCACTGGCCCGGGGTCTCCCAGTGGCTCCCCCAGGGCGGGTCTGAGGTGGGGACCTTCCCACTGAAGTTGCGCCAGAAGCCCTGGAGGTGGCAGCATCAGGAGCGAGTCACTCTGTGAAACAGGATCCCATTAGCTAGTTCAGTCAGGGAACTTGTTCGGTTTGGCTTTTGTTTTAAAAGATGCAGCTTCGACTCAGTCCCTCTCCTCCTGACTTGGAGAGTACCCGAGAGCTGGTTCTGCTGATCCTCGCTCCCACTGCACCCCTCCTCCAGTCACCCCAGGGACAGCCTTCTCCCGAAGCCCTGCCCCAGAACCACTTAAAATCCTTATGGAGGGGGCGCCTCGGTACAAATTAGTCATCTGGGACCCAAAGTTTAAAAGATAGTATGAGTGGAACACACCAATTCCAGAGTCTTTGCAGGGGCCTGATCCTGAGAGGAGAGAAGGGCAGAATCCAGAGAATGGGGATTGGTCTTAGACCAGAAAGAGCGTGGCGCACCTGAAACTCATTTACCCTCACCACTCGGAGGAACGGACAGTGCACATCCGAGGACAGCAATGGGGGCATGGGAAGGGGGGATCAGGCAGGGGGCTCAGAGGGTTTTAGAGGATTTCAAATAGGTGGAACCCAGCCATCCCTATTCCCAAGGGCCACTTATGACTCCAGGGGTGGTTACAGGATTAACTACCAGTTCATTTTCAAAATGCTGCTTTGAACTCAGAGGGTTGATACATTTAATTTGTAATTTTTTGTAAAACTTTTTACAAGATAGTAAAGTATTTCACCAGAATACCAGTTTCAATCCGTCCATGGTCTGATTTTTATATAATTTAGTGGTGCTTTAGAAACTTTGTTTTTGTTGTTTCTGGGCTAAACAGCTCAATCCTTTTTCGCCTGTATCTACCTAAGACCAATGTGAACCTTTGTATTTTTGCTCCTAATTTTGGACTCAGTGAAAGTGTACTGTTTACATGTACAGATGCCCCAGTCCCTGTGTGTTCTGCAAGACTCGCTCTTGAGGAGGAAGGTGCACCTCACTAAGCTCATCTGCTTAGCAAAGCCACAAAACAAAAACCTCTCACTTTTTACCTGTTTCCACCTAAAAACAAAAACAAAAAAACCTACAACACACAGAACTCGGATTTACTGAAAAACAATTCTCTAAGCTCAGAAAAATCTCTGGGCAAGTAGATGGCCTGCGTGCGTCTGTATGTGGTCCATTTAGAAGCAGGGTCGGGACAGAGACCTCCCACGCCATTGGTGGGTGACTGCACGGGCAGGTGAGCAGTGAAGCAGGACTTGGCTGCAAAGCGGTGAGTGGAGATAGCTCTCCCAGCAGCCTGGGGTGGGCAGGTTGCCCTCAGTCCTTTGGCATCACTCAGACAGGTTCTGGGAGAGCGTGAGTTCCCTACCTGGGCGAGACTTTAAGATTCTCCAGTGCAGATGGGATGAGCATGTCTTCAAGGCTCCCCTGGAGGCATCACCTCTGGCGAGGAGCAGAGGGCTCCAGACGATAAGCATATGGCACTTAAGGCAAACAGTGGATGGCACCAACTTTTAAAGGTGACTCTTTATTACTTAATCAGTGGCTTCACCTCTAAATTATATTTTTACAGATATGCACCTATGCAACTTAACGTGGCTCTTCTAAGCAGGTGAGAACTTCCTCTTCAATGCTCTATAAAAATTCTTTGTGTTCTGTATAGTGAGTTTTTCCAGTAAATGTGGCTCAATATTTTAATTCTTAGACTGTGTCTTCTCTATGTGATGCAACTAAATTCTGTTTTGTTTGTGGAATGACTAGCACAGGCCAACTCCCTCTCCCCTCACTTAACAAAAGACCAATGAGCTGTTAATCGAGCTGTTTCTCCATGGTATTACTTGCTAAATGCACTGATTTCATAAGTATGTGGAATCTTTTTTCTTTTGAATCTGTATATCATATATAAGACTGAATCTACTTAATAAACACTGAATAACAAACTGAATGTGTTCTTTCCACTTGTCCTCTCAACAGCCACACTGCCAGCTAGACCTCTTCCAAACCTAGCTGGGCACTGAAACCCCTTCCCACTAGTACATTCCACCTTTGCCAGGCCCAGCAGCAAGCACACGGAAGGTCCTTGGTAAATGGTCATGTCCTTCGGCACCTAGCCCGCTAGAAAGGGACGGAAATGCATCTTCCCTGGTGCTCGCCAAGCACCTGTGGGCACTATGTTGAAACCTCACCATGACCTTCCCAGAGAGGTGCCCTTGCCTCCACTTGCAGATGAGTCAGCAGGGGTGCACTGGTTCTACCTCACCTAAATTCAGCCAGTGGCCAAGCCAAGTCTTAACTGTTTGCCTGTAAACCGTGCCCATCCCACTCCCCAGTATGCAGCTCTTCAACCATCAGAAACCAAACCTTGGGAAACAGGAAATGCCATCCCTGGTCCTGAACCTTCACTACTTGACATTCCACTCGACCCCAAACCCCAGATCCTGCTTTGAAGGGAACAAAAAGGCTGCTTTTTCCAAAGACGTTTACTTGTACACTTACTTTTTTCATCTTATACATTATCATTTAGGTTAAACTTTAAAGGAAAATGTATAGGAATATGGGTAGGAACAAAACTGGTTGTCATGAATTTAAAAACAAATTTGACCAAGTTAACTGCATAAACATGTTTTACTGTTAACATTGTGCCTGTCACACAATATGAAGTTGTTTTCAAAACATTTATTTTTCGTTACGGCAGAATCATCTTTTTAAAATAGAAATTCTGTGCAACTGCCAAATACATAAAATAAAAAGAGAGGAGCCAATCGTTTGCACACCCCGGGAGTGCACTTTGGGGCTAAGATTCAGACCAATAGTAGTAAGAACAGCCGAAGTAGGGACCTTCTCAGCACCCTATCTTTCCACGCGCACGTGGGGACCATGGGCAGCAAATCCTCAGTACTATCATGAAAAGGTCTGTCCTACTGAGTCCACCGCTGCTGAGAATCACCAAGGGACCACACACCCCAACAACCAGGACAACATCTACAGAATCCAGACCAGCCACACACAACCACACTGGTCGACCAGGACAGCACTTACCTCGGATGAAGCCACAGCTCCGCGGGAGCACTGGTATCCTGGGACGGGAGAAGGTGCTGGAGGACAGAGAGGCACTGCTGGATCCCCGGCTGGCTTCTTTAATGGAGCGCCCCACCACGGCTGTCAACAATGTCCAGGACATCAAACGGGAATGCCCCTTAGAGCAGGGAAAGCAGATACACAGTGACCAAACAGGGACCCTCACTCCACTCTGTGGACAGGGAAGACATGCATGCACTATAGGGAAGGAAACCTGGAGCAACACTGTGGTTCACCTAACACACTGACCTCTTGCTGGCCATTTACCCAAATTTTTATACAAAAGAAAGGAAGAGAACTGTTTTGAGTACAAAACTGGTGTGTGTGGTTGCAAACGTCACAAAGGCTAGTAAACTTAGGAAACCAGTGTACACCACAGAAGTGGCAATGGTTTTATTTTCAATTCTGACCTTTTAGAGATCTGAATTTAGATTGTGTTTCATGACGTCGTACAGTAAATAAATTCCAGTTCCCAGAAATGCTAGCTAAATCCTATCATACATAAATATACCATCACAGCTCAAACTAGGTAAAGGGAACATCTTCAAGTCCTGGTTTCTGGCTCACTTCAAGAAATATTAAAAACAAAGATCTTTCATTTGTAGAGCCCGGATACATGGAGACAATTATAATGGGACCTCACTTAAAGCAACATAACAAACCTTGACAAGTAAAAAAAATTTAAGTACTTTAAAATGTACCACGGAACGTTAGTAGTTACCGAAACTTAAGTCATCTCTCCCCTCCTTGATCTTTTGAATAAACTCAGATTAGGTTTATCATCAGTCAGAGGCTCTTAGATGAGAGGCTCCAGATGCCCAAGGAGCTCTTGCACCCTGAAACAGTGCACACAACTTACAGCTCAGTGTGAACGCGCATTCCTGGAGAGGGCCCAGACCTTCCATCAGGCTTCCATCGTGTTCCCAGAAAGGCCAAGAGCCACTGCACTGGCAGCTTTTTGTTACTCTCCTTTAAAAAAAAAATTTTTTTTATTGATTTCAGAGAGGAAAGGAGGAGATAAATCAATGAAGAGAATCATTGATCTGTTGCCTCGTGCACGCCTCCTATTGGGGATGGAGCCTGAAACCCAGGCCAGGAATCCATCATGACTTGGTTCATGGGTCGATGCTTAACCACTGAACCACAAAGGCCAGGCTCTCCTTTTTCTTATACAGCTTCTGTCTACACCTTTTGGTAGGGATGTTCATTCCAGGCTTTCAAATTGATCCATAGAGCCCTAGCTGGTTTGGCTCAGTGGATAGAGCGTCAACCTGCGGACTAAAGGGTCCCGGGTTCAATTCCGGTCAAGGGTACATGCCCAGGTTGTGGGCTCGATCCTCAGTTGGGGGTGTGCTGGAGGCAGCCGATCAATGATTCTCTCTCATCAGTGATGTCTCTCTTCCTCTCTGAAATCAATAAAAATACATTAAAGAAATAAAATCAACAAATTGATCCATAGAGATGAGAGGAAGCATTAGGCACTATCAAGGTTTGGTTTCAACTACTAACCAGTTAACTGCCACATGTCCAAATCAAAAACCATCCCCACACGCCATGGTATTTTGAATTTAATTGCATCTATAAACACTAATGGCGTACAAAGTGTTAATCTCTAAGGTCATAAAGCCCACCTTGTCACTTTAAACGGTGCCCATACAGGAGGGCAACACAGCCTGTGCCTCCTCCTCTCAGGGCACAGGGCGGGCAGATGCTTGGCCCCTAAAGCCCCTGATGCAGGAGGGCTACTCTGTGAAGCACACACACCCCTCAGGCAGGGTCTTTCTCAAGAGCAGGTTGGACATAAAGCTAAAGACACCTCAAAAAGGCCACTGAGGTTTTCATATTCTTAAACAACAGGTTTCCTTGTCCTCTGAAGAAAACGTCTCCACTACCAAGCACTCCATCTCTAAACACTGTGCTGTGTATTCAACGATAGCATGAGGCCACGAGCCAGATGTCCACTCACAGGCCCGCACCTCCACAGCTGCCCTCTGGGGTGACGGTCAAGCAAGAGCCATATAGATCCTATTATAAATTCATGTAGTGATTGCCTGGCTTGGTGCATTTAACAGTCTGGAGTACTTACTATGTGCCAGGCCCTAATAACTTTATGAAGTAGGAGCTACCATCCCCATTCAGATGAAGTTGGCAGAGGCCGAGTAACTGGCAATCACAGTGTGGGCAGGCAGCAGGGCCTGTACTCTAATCCACTGCACTATTCTGCCTCGCTGATGAGATGCAACTCTGGACCCTAATGCATTCTAAACTCCTGCAGGCTACATGCACAGATCCTATGACATGAAGGTACACGGACACATCTTCACCACCAGGTGGCTGCCCATGGAGCCCGACCGTAACTTCTCCAACTGCACCTGCAGCACCACAAAGTTGCAGCTTGAACTGGCCCCAAGGGATCCCACCACACAGTCTATTTTCTCCAACTCATAGGAAACAAGTCAACGGATCCTTCTTTTAGTTCATCTTTACTTCCCATCATGTTGGGTTTTTAGTTTTTTTTACTCTTGGTATATTTAGATACTAAGATAGATCCTACGAAGCACAAAATCACGTATTTAAGTACTCCAGTAGGTGTGAGGACTAAAGTCAGCCCCTGCAGGCTGGAAGCCACTTAGCCTCGGTCTGCAGGCAGCACCTCCCTCACTGCTGCCTGCTGCTGCGCAGATGCCCATGTTTATGGCTTTTCAAGGTCAGAACTGTTCACCCTCCCACAGATCATCAGCCATTAGGAAGCTCTCGTGAGCTCAGTGAGGCAGTGGAGATGAGCATCCTCACCACTTGCATTAATTTCCGCTTCCAGTGCACAGTGGGAAAGTTTGCCAAGTCACGCGGTCTAAAGAGTGAAATTGACAAGTTATGCCTCTAAGTCTCATCTCACAAAGGAGCACCTTACACCACATGAGCTCGAGCCGAGGGGAGGGAGCTGGCATTTGCTCCTTCAAAGCAGCTTCTACACTCCAGCTGAACCTTCCTTCCCACCGGGAGGGGGTGGGGAGCCACAGAAGATGACGGAGACCGAATGCAGGTTGTACAGGTTTATTTTTCCAAAACCACAGGAGACATACAAGAGCAGCGCTTTCTCTGGGCAGCCCCATGGACTAGACCCTAGAGTGGCCTCAAAGGTCACAACAGAAGGAAGAAGAGGATCAAACACGCTTGGGCCTCTGCTCCCTGTCTTTGGTAAACAGACTCTTAAAGTTGACAACTTGGACTTGGCCAATACTGCATTGAAATCACCACAACACTGCCAACTTCTCACTCATGCTTCAGATGACAAAAATGCCACACTGGATGAAATGGGAAAGGGAAGACCTCTCAGATGAAATGAGATCTGCTGAAGTCATACCAATTTTATACTTCACACATAAGCACTCACACAGGGAGACTGGAGTTAAACAAGGACTCAACTCTGCAACAAGTTGAGGTACAAGAAATAAGGCAGGAAGCAGGGTGAGGAAAGACAACTATGGAGACATCTATTTGTTAGAAATGTGTCGGGAGAGAGGCAGGCAGCAGGCCTGCCTGTTTCTTCCCCAACCTGCTGTCAAAAGGAGCTCTATGGCCCCAGGAGAACATGGTCCCAGGTATTGCTGACAGGCAGTGGCCCTGGAGCTAGGTCTAGAAGGCCCACCTGGGGCTGCCCAGGGCACTCACCCTTGAGTTCAGAAGCACTTAACACTGGTGGTGGTGATTTGTCACATATGGCAGTGAGCAGCCAGTGAAGGTTGGAGAAGAGATGTGAGGAGCAAGATGCATTTGCTCAGCAGTGGACAGGCAGGCTGACTCTGGCCGGTCCCCCGGGTGCACCATGACAGGGCACCGGGCCAACCTGGCAGATCACAAGTTAATCACTCAAGTTGGGCAGCACAGCATGCAGTGGCTCTGACACAGGTGGAGAGAAGTCTATTACACCACTTTAATGCAATGATGCCCAAAACGTGAAGTAAGGGAGAGACGTTCGTGTTGTCTATATAATACATCCATTTACAGAATCGGCCAGTACTGTGTACAACATATAAATACATGATAAAACATTAGAGGTGCATAGAGCATACTTACAGAAGCCAAAAAATTCACTTTATACATCCAAGGATAGAGTTAAAAATATAAAAATAAGAAACACACACTGCTTTGAAATGTAAAATGATTTTTCAGATACATAGGTGTGTGGAGATGCCCGCTCCCATGAGTCCAAAGTGACCGGGAAGGTGTCAGGCAGAGGCATTCACCTGCCAAACATCTGGACATGTGACTGACAAGGTCTACAGGTGGGATTTTCAGATAGATGACCTTATGCTCAACCCTATTGTCCAAGCAGGTCTATTCAAAGGTTCCAAAAGCTCCTGTGGGCCAGTGGGTTGTAATGAGTCAGCAAAGTCCCATATTTGCTTCAGCAACAGAACCAAAGGTTAAATCCATCAACTGGCATCAGAATGAACTGTGACCCTGAGGTCAGCAGGTACTTGAGCCCCCTGGTGGGCACTGCTGGGAGTTACCTTAACCCTGTGCAGGTTCTTCCCCAACCATCACCTCCCCAGAATAGCAGGAGGAAAGGTGGCAGGGAGGGGGCGGCGGAAGACTGACATTTCTACTTAGTTCAGGTAGGTTAGTTCCCTGTGTGGAGAACAACCTTCTTTCTTCAATTTCAGGTCCCTCTGGGTGTCGGGCAGGCCCTCTACCCCTCACCAGGCTCTGTCTACATGAGGGCTCAGCTGGCCAGTTGCAGCCCAACAAGTTGCCCTGTGGAAAGCCCCTCCAGCAAGACAGGAAGGTTGCTAAGTGACAGAGGCCTTTAGCACTATAAATGTTAGGGAGAGGCAAGAGTGCTTCTGCCTGAAGAGACAGTCTACTGTATCAATGATACTCTGTATACAGACTTAAGATCAATCATTATCAAAATACACACACTAAATATACAACTTTTCCCATGGCCATAATTTATTATCTTACCACAAGGCACAATACACAGAGCTTGGAGGGTCCAATACAGTCGTCATGACAGAACGCACCACAGCCCTGGCACATGATCATGGCTTTCAGGCTGCACGCACACTGGAGCGAGATGCTTTCCACTGTGCTGCTGTCGGTGAACATTTGCAAGGAAAGTGATGCACTGTGGTTCGCACCAAAGTTTGCTTTGTGGCTCAGCTGCACCACACTTCCAGCAAGGCCTTTGGGAAAGGCTGGGGAGCTGGAGGAATAATTAAAGCTGGTGGAACTTAGCTGGAGTTTAGAAAGCTTCCCATAGAATGCCTGTTTAATGTTGAGTTGGGAGGGGATAGAAGAAGGCTCGAGAGGTTGACTGAGCCCTTTCCCAGGCTCTCGAGGCAATTTCCAGAAGGGCAGGTCAAGGACAAAGGGCACCGCTTGCAAGTGATCCACCAGATCCCGAGCACGGGGTCCAGCTTCATTTCTGTTTTCTGCATTTGCCTTGAGAGGCGCCCCCACAAAAGTCTTTTCACTCTTGATGCTGCCAACAGAGGCAGGTGGTGTCTTTGGAGCCCAGTCTTCCCTGGCGGTCTGTACCCCACCAGACACAGAGTTTTTACTTGGCCCCAACTTCCTACTGGGAAAACCAGGAGGGGCATCAGCGGGCAGCGGCACTGGCGCCATAGGCTTGGGGCACTGAAGGGTTGCAGCCAGGTTTCTAGAGCCAAAGAGCTTCTTCCCTTGACCTCCAGCACTGTTCTGATCACCCCGGGCCCGGCCTGTCTGATCAGGACCCAAGGAGATCACATTTGGAGATGAGAAACAAGGGGCTCTCGAGGTAGTGAGATTTCCTGGACTTTTGCCTGGGGCAGCATTTGAATTACTGCACTGGGGCAGATCTCGGCCTTTCTTCTGTTCTTCACAACTAAAGGAAGAGAACTGCTCTTTGGAATCCACTTCTATTTGCCCAGAGGCAGCTGTCAGATTGGTCACTGGATATAGGGAATCTAAACTTGGGACCATCTTGGAAATCTTCTGGGGTGTTCCAGGAGCCTGGGTGGCCTCCAGTCTGGCAAGACCAGTGCTGGCTTCACAGCTGTCGGGTAGAAGAGGTTCCTTCAAAGCTCTTAAAGGACCGGGGCTGCTCCTGCCCACCGCACAACTGTTTCCCCCAGGATCTTGCAAAGATCCCATTCCCTGCTCTTTGGCAAGTGGGAGTTGTGGAGGTTCCAGTCTGCTGCCAGAGAGGGCTGGAGGAAGGACCTTTTCCAGGGGCAAGTTGCCCTGCAGCAACTGCATCACGAGTGGGTTAGTGGCCTCCACTGAGGACCCAGGCCTGCCCAGGGACACAGGCCTCGGCTGGTACTCGGTACTGGCCAGCAGCAGGGAATCTGGGATCTTTTGGGGGACTGCACATACGCGAGACACCCAGCTCTGAGGAGCAACCATCCTGTCTGTCCTTTTAACCAGACTATGGTCACCATTCATTTTGGCAAGTGAGGCAGAGTGGTTCCAACCGTGTTTCTCCTCTTTGTCCACCACCGAGGACCTCTCCATCACTGTGGCCTCAGTAGGGTCAGCATCACTGCTGTTCTCAGAAAAGTGGCTTTCAAAGTCAGAGGCTGTGTCTGTGGATTCGCTGTGAGGACTCAGTGCTTCAGAGTCTCCATTGATTTTCACGTTTTCAACTTCCACCTGTTGGCAGTCGTTCCCTGGGCTGTCACTGCACCCGTGAGATGGCACTGTCCCAAGTGAAGGACAGCTGGGGAGATCTAAACCATCTTCGGCTGTCAAACCCCCAGGCAATGCAGGAATGAGGGGAGCAGCCTTCTCCCACTCTTCTCCAACCTGGGGCTGGACAGATGGGACGTTCTCTCTGGAGTCTGGTTCGAGCTGTCCCACATTGGAGAAGCCAGCCTCAGTTTTTAGGTCTTCTTGTATAGTAGCTCTTCCCTTCATGGGTGGGCATGAGTCACCAAGTCCTAATTGCCTGTCCTGTACGCAGCCAGCCAATGACGACTCAGGGGTGGAACTGGGGGTCACATTCACAGGATCCTTCATAGTTGGACTACCGTCCCTGTCCAGAGCCTGGCCAGTTCCTCCTTCTAATATAACATCCCCCACCAGAGACTGAATAGGACCATCCTCAGGGAGAAGAGTGGGTCTTTGCTCTTTATTATCCCTTTCCCGGGAAGTGGTATCAGATTCACCTTCAGTTCTAACATCTAGATGCAAGGTAGGCTGCTCAACTAATCTCTCGGGTGCTGGGGTTTTGGAGGACAGTGGGGGCAAAGCCTGGCATGGCTGGTCCCCAGTGGGAGCCATGAGGAGTTGGGAGACATCTTCTCGCCTGCTTGCAACTGGTGCCCTCTGTAGGGAGTTCTCCTCCTCTCTGAGAGAAGCCAGGTGCTCCCTCCTGGCTCTGGGTATAGCAGTTCCAACCTGGGTGTGCTCCCCATTTAGAGGACGAGGCGGCAGTAGTTGTGTTCGCTGTAGATCTGACGCACACTCTCCAGGGGTGCTCGGGGCTCCTCTGGGCTCAAGGTGGCCACAGGCCTCACCACCATCACCACTGCTGCTGCCTCTGCCACCTCCCTCATCGGTGGTCCTGCCGCCACCTCCACCCGGGCCACCCCCCCCTCCGATGGCAGTGGTGGCCGCCTCTCGATGGCAGTGGTGGCCTCTCGCCCCTCGGATCTGCAAAGCACGGGCTTTAATGTCTGCGAGGGTCCTGGCACCAGTCCAGCCCCGGCAGGAGGACTCCGTGATGGGGACAATTCGGGGGCATATCTGGTAAGTGGGCTGACCTTTAACCACCCAGGGTGGTTTGATACGTGAAAGTTGTATCTGCAAGAGAAGAATTAGAAAAGTTTTAATTGACTGGGTGTTCTGACCTAGGCACTGTAAAGCTAAATTAGGAGTCTAGTAGCTTAGGGGCCATGGCCTAGAGAATTAAATCATTTTCCTTAACATATTGCGGGCCAGTAGTTTTATTACTAGCTTTACCCAGTGCTAGATAAGTTTCTACTGAATGAGTACAAAAACGTTTTACATAAATGCTAAAGGCATGCTTTAAAATTAAATACCCGTTGCATTTTGAAGTTATTTATTACATTCTTACAAGCTAATATCTTTTTAAAGTATGATACTTCGTAAAACACTGTGTAATATGAAGCGAGAATTCTCGTGACCTGTCCACAATGTGTTAAAAATGAAAGTGTCATGGTGAAATGGCGGTCCACAACAGCACACCATTCTCAGAAGGCTCTGCTCAAGGGCTGTTACATGCCGCACTTCTAAATTTAATTTCTGATGGGACTATGGGAGTCACTACACAAAGAATCTAACACCATCTAATAAAAAATGTAAACCCCCCACAGGATTCTGACCTCTAGAGATAACTTCAACAGAGTGAACACACCAGTGAAGCAGAGAAGACCCTCATCCCCAATTGTCAAACTGGTCTCAGGAATGGCTCTCTTGTAGAGGGCTCTACACGCCCACTTAATCAACACAAGGGTCCTGCAAAGGGGCTCCACAAATCGCCTGGCCCTCAAGGGGAAACGGCCTCCTACCCGGATGGGCGGGACTTTGGGCTCCTCTTTGGTGGGCTGTGGCTTTTCGGAGTGAACACTTTCAATTGTGTTACGAAAGGACTGACGATCTTCAAGCCGGGGCTTCTTTTCGGGAAAGGATGCGGAGGCTGCCTCCTCAAAGGATTTCCTCTTCTGATCTCTAGGTTCCTGATCAACAGTCTCCTGATGCAAGCTGGGAATTCTGTCTGAAGAGGCAGAGGCCCGTGCCAGGTCGTCAGGATCGGTTTGGATCTGAGAAGCTCCCGTCTCCACTGTGAATCTGGGACCCTCGGAGTCAGGCACTGCAGAGGATGTGCCAGGCAGGTGGGGACTGCCTGCCCCTGCTGAATCAGTCTTAGCCTCCCCATCCTTGTAGAGGGGGATGTCAGGTGCCACAGACTGTGTGTCTTTAACAATCCCTCCTTGTTCTAGCTCCGGTTTCTTGTACAGATTCCTTCTGGCTCTGGTTCGGAGATCTGGCCGAGAGCGTTTCTTGAAATGCCCGTCTCGCTGCCGGGTGGCTGGACCACGCTGTGGCCGTGCTGATCCTCCTGGGACTCGCAAGTCACTCTTGATTTCAGCCTCCTCTTGGCCCACGTTCTGCTGCAACAACTCTTCTCTGGCCAAACCCAACCTGCAAACCAAACTCACACCATCAGTTACAGGGCAGAGAAAGCATGCTTATTGTATCTATGAATGACACACCCAGATATTAGATATCTCAGAACCAAGTGAATCTAAATGGTGCATAACATTAACCATAGGCTCTGGTAGCTTCCTTCCATATGGCATTAGGCTAAATGAGCCATGTCAGGCAATCTCCACATTCTCATTCAACACAAAAGTATGCACAACTTGGAGAACATCTGCCTTTATCCCCACCCCACCCCCAAATCCCAGACCAACACTCTCAGCAACCAAGTGCCTTACTTCTGTCCATAGTAGTCCTCAAAGAACTTTTCTTTCCATTGTTCCACCTTCTTTTCCTTCTCCATTTCCTGCCGTATCCTGACTTGCATCTCATGAGTGAATTCACCTAGAGAGAAATAAAACTTTTGAGTACATGCATTCAGGATATTCATGTGTCTTATGGAAAGTAGTTCTACTTCCTCCATTTTCAAAATACATATGACTTTGGTGGATTTAGAGATCTTTTTCTTTTTACCCTCACTATCTTCACACTGGTTTCCGTCTCCTCCAAAGGATCTCTCACATCATGCTCTTCTCAGGACAAAACTAACATGTCTGTTACAAGGGAAACTTAGTCTTCAAACAGCAACACGTTCAAAAAAGCAAAACAAAAACGAACCAAAGAACCATTCTTACTTCCTGTGCAGAAAAAAGTTAACCTAGCAGGCCTGATTGCTTATCCTTAGAAACGACTGCTTACAAGGTTGGCCCTTGGCTGACATCTGGGAACCTGGATTTGGGGAGGGTTCCCAACCTCAAACTGATATGAATGGCTCACTGTGCCTAAACTGTTTTTGCAAATAAGATGGTTTATGGCGAGCACTTGCTTTCCTTTGGGGAATCTGAAATTTGGGTATGTGCCAGGCACAGGCATGCTACATGATCAGCCCTTGATAAAACCCTGAGCACCAAGTCTTTAACAAGCTTCCCTGGTAGACTACATTTCACATGTGCTGTCACAGCTCGGTGCTGGGGGAACTGAGCGCATCCTGTGTGATTCTACTGGGAGAGGACCTTGAAAGCTTGCTCCTGGTTTCCCTGGACTTCTGTCTCTGCTTCAGTCCTTCGCTCTGTATTCTTTCACTCTGTATTCTTTTGCTGTAATAAACTACAGCCATGAAGAAGACTCTATGCTGAGTGCTGTAAATCCTCCTAGTCAAGCACTGAACCTGGAAGAGGTCTCAGGGACTTCCCAACACACTCTCCTGTACCTTCCCCACAAAACTAAAGTAGGAGAAGCTAACAATCACTCCAAATGGCGATGTCTAAAAACAGAGCATCTGGTAAAGATTAACATTGTAGCTCAATGCCACAGCGCACTTTCCTCCGTCCATCCAGACAACGCCATGTTTAATGGAAAGAATAGGAGTTGACAGGTTTAATGATGAAGAGGCAATGCAGATGGATATTTACACACAAAACAATGAAAGCCCCAATACCCTGTACCTTCTAAAGCTATGAAGCACATTAACACCTGCCACATTTATTAGTGTTGTGAGGAAAGCCTGCCTTACACTAAATACCCCTTGGAAAAAGAGGTAAATTGGTAAAAATGGGGTTTTAAATATCAGGAAACAAGTGATACCACACATGGCAGGTACCTCTCAAACGATCTGAGATAAGAACGTCTACTCACCATCAGCCAGGCGTTCCCGCCAGCTCTGAGCCGCGTGGGTGAAAAACTCGTTATTCAGTGCACTGCTGCTGAGACGAAACAGGCCGTCCGTCCCCACCTAGAAGGATCAGGCACATAACCCGATAAATAAAAAACTTAGAAGGACAACACAAGCTCGCTCAGAGAGAAGCATAGAAGAAACGGCCTATCCGTACCTGTCTGTCCACTTCAGGCAGGAGGAAAAGGAGCTGCTGCTGGAAGTGGGATGGCAGGGCGTGGAAGGTCCGAGAATTTATCAGGGCCCGAAGGTTGGTATTGACAAGAATGGACCCAGGTGTCTCAAAATCTACCTCTTCCCCTCTGTTGCGCTTCATTTGACCTGTGATTTTTGAAGCAATAAAAAGTAATGTATACATTTTCAGCTTCTAAAAGCAGAAGAAACAAATGCTAACTGTAGGGGGAAACTTTGGTGGCACCCAAGCTACTCAGAACTTATCGGCACACAATCTGCTCGACTACCCAGCACACCCTAACCTGTATGTTACAATTATTCTTCCCAGGTAACTGTCATTGCCAGCAATCCCAAGACAACACTTGGGCTGCATCTTCTCACATAAGACTGTACTAGGCTGTGTCACAGCCTGAAGAGGACACTCTTCCCCATAAAACCAGGCGGGGGCAGGCCCTGACCCTCCCTCCAAAGCTGGAGAACAAGTTCCACAAAGTCAGCTGGTGAAATGATGGAAGTTGTCTAAAAGCAAATCTATTATCGTCCTATGGGAAAATCTGCAGAAGCCTTCTTGCGAATGGGCCGAAGAGGTACGATCTCCATGCAGAAAGGGACTAAGGGTTGTTTAAAGCCCATGAAAATGTCAATACCTCTCACAGAAGCCTCAGCAAATGTTACTTTTATTTTTTTAAAAAATCACTTAGAATAGACACCTGTTAATCTTAGATTGAGCACTGCTGAGGAATTGGAAAAGCAGACATAGTTCCGACTTGGGCAATGGTTTATTCTAATTTCACAAGCTAACTCTTAATGATTTCTTGTAGCCCATCTACAAACAGCCAGCATGTGGGCTTTGAGATATAAATCCTGAAATAGCAAACAGTATATTGGCCTTGTAAGTAAACCTACTGGGTATGGGAGGTGCACACTACTGAATTTGTTTGCATCTCCCAAATTCAACTTAGGCTTCCACTCAATATGCTGACTGGGCTGTAGAAAAGGACATCTGACAGAGACTACGATGTTGAGAACAAATATGGCAGTATGTTAACAAAGAAAGAAAATGGACGTTGGAATTCTTCACTGAGAAGCTCAGAAGCAATTTTCACTCACATAGACACTGCCTGAGCAAGACCACTAAAGCAGGCAGAGTAGGCCCTTACAGGGACATACGAGGAGCAATGTGGCACCATCTTTGCCCACAAGGAACTCTCTCTCAGTCTAGTAGAGACTATTTATATGTGGAATAACCAAAATGCAAGGTAAAATTAAACAAAAAACAGAGGACCACCCAAGATAAACTGGTTAAAGAAGTAGACTTCCTCCTGTCACTTGGCCTGCAGGGGCCCCCTTTACAGGCAAAGAAATGAGTGCCAAGCCACTCACCTGTGGCCGGTTTCCGGAAGCCTCTCAGGAGCGGGGCAGGGTCCCGGGCGACCTCGGCCTGGCCACGAATAGCAGCGCTGCCCAGGGCCAGAGAGCCGCTGCTGCTGCTGGACGGGCTGCCACTCTCGCCATCGGCTTGGCGGCCCGAGAACCCTGAAGGCACATCATTCCACTGGTCAAAAGTATTACCCGCCATGCCCAAGGCTCTTAGACAAGCTTCCTTCTCCCAACTCTCCCTGAGGTGCTGCCAGCTATACTGGGTGCTGCCATGGCCCAGCCTTGGGCTATCAGAGCTCAACACCGCATGCGCTGGCTTTAAAATACCACGTAAGAATGCCAAACTGCCATCTTAGTTTGTACAGCACTGCACCTTTTACAAAAAGCACCTGCACGCTCCATCCGACCTTCACAGCCACCCTGTGAGGCAACGGGGAGGGCACGGCAGAGCCCAGCACTGGAACCTAGGTCAGGTCTCGCCATCACAGAGTGCTGCTGCCAGAGGAGGGTCTCCTGACTCCACTGGCATCGCACTACCCAGGTCAGAAACTGCTGCCTCTGGGAGGCAGCCCCAGGAGCTGAGGAAGAGGCACCACAATCCAGATCTCATACGTACCTGATGCAGATTCCACGTGGGCCCCGTTTACCTTCAGAGGAGTCAGGACAACTCGAGGCAGCATCACACCAGTCTTTTTCTTTTGCTTGTTTGCCTATATCCCCAGAGGAATCCAAAGAATCTGAGTCACCTGCAAGGCCACAGCACCGTCCCTCTCCACTATGTCTCTGCTCACCGTCTTGTAAAACAGAGTTTGTATTCGACAAACTCAGGCAGGTAATGCTAACAGCAGCACTGTTATTGGGCCAGGTGCCAGTCCCTGTGCCAAGCATTACCCACGCTGAGAAGAATCTACCATTATCCCCATTTTACAGATAAGGAATTTGCCCAAGGTCCCAAAGCTCGTGAGTGAAAGGGCCAAAATTCAAACCACTAACTCCCCAGCTCCCGTTCTCCCCATTCTGCACAATGCTCTACTTCTCCCTGGTTATCTAGCCATGTAAAGAGAGAAAAAACAACAAATCACTCTGCTGTCAGATCTATGACCCACTTTTTCTCCGGCCCACTTTTAAAAGGTACTAACTGGTGGAGACCAAATTGATTTTCTCCACTCTTCAAACACACTCACAATTAACTATAGGATGGACAGTCCTATCTGTGCCTGGCCTCTCTTATCCCCCTATCACCACCTCTCCTCCCTACCTGTGAGGAAGCTCTGTAGCTGTCCCTGGGATTAGAAAGAGGCCGACTCTGAGATTCTGTAGAACAGGATGCATTAGAGGATGTTTCATCAAGTGATACTGGAAGGGAGGGAAATAAAGGTTAGTGCCTAATAACTGCTTATGGCTCTTCACCCATCTTGTTAAGGGCACTTACCATCATTTTCACCACTCACAGTGCTGGTTTCATTAGACCCACAGCTCTCTACATCAGCTGTGTCCTCTGGCTCCTCCCCCTCCACTGCAGCCGGATTGCGAGACCACTGCAGGGCATCCTTCTGTGACAGGAAGGAAAACAAGGGTGAGCAAAACCCTACAAATCGATCAAGCATAGTAGTAATTTCTAAACATGTATTGCTTCTCCCTTTCTAACTGACTTTCTCAGCAAGTTCTTTTCAAACATATATCAAGAAAGTGAGATAAAACTTTGCACTCAATCGTTCACTAAATATTTATGGGTGACTCCTATAAATGCTAGTTTCTGGGGATAGGGTGGGATATCAGGAGTAGGAAACGGGGCTAGCCTCAAGGAGCTGAACTGAGTGGGGGAGAAAAATCAAACCTATTATACTCCAAAGCACAGTGAGAAAGGTATACAGAGAAATGCAGCAGCTCAGAAGAGGGGGCATCTAAGTCCTTAAGTTTAAGAGGACATGGAGTATAGAAACTGAATTAAGAATCAGGGAGATAAGCTTCCAAAAAGCTAAGTTTTAAAAGGTGTTAGCTAAGCCCTGGCCTGTATGGCTCAGCTGGTTAGAGCACTGTCTACACCAAAAGGTGGCAGGTTTGATTCCCGGTCAGGGGTGCATGCAGGAGGCAACCAATCGATGTTTCTCTCTCACATCAATGTTTCTCTCTCCCCCTCTCTCTCTCTCTCATCAATTTACTAAAATAAATTCTTAAAAAAAAAAAAGATGTTAGCTGCCCTAACTGGTTTGGCTCAGTTGATAGAGCATCAGCCTGCAGACTGAAGGGTCCCAGGTTCTATTGTGGTCAAGAGCACATGGCGTCTCTGTAGTCAGGGGAATGATTTGAGTTTTAGGAATTTCATTCTGTTAAGCATGGGAAGTCTGGAGGAAGAAGAGTCACACTGACAGAAATGAACATGATGAAGATCTAAAGTAAGATAGTGAAAATGAAGCAAGAGTGTGGAGGAGTGCTCCATTCCAAGTTTCAACTAATAAATGCTTCTTCTAGCAGGCTCTGTTGTAGAGTCTTAGAATTAAACTCCACCCATTCCTAAGAAAAAATTAGGAGCTATCTTACATCTTGAAACTAGGATGAATACTGGAATTTGGAGAGAAGAGAAGATGAGCAGAGATAAGTTGGAACGGGATGTCTTCTTTGAATAAAAGTATGTGAAGGTTAGGTAAAATCATGACTTTACCTCTTACAAATATACCGGAAATTTATAAAGGACATTCACAAAAGTCTAACTCATCAATTTCATGGGTTCCTTTGACTACTATATTAAGTTTTCATTAATTTACGCCCAAATCAGACTGACTTAAAGTAATTTAAAAAACCCCAGCTTTTTAGATCTTTCTCTCTTTTCCCTACTGGCTAGAAATGCTCCTCTGAATCAAAAGCTAAAGAATATTTTCAGTATTAAGCTTGTAATTATGGTAATTGACTGCCATGTTCTTGGAATGATGCAACAAATTTATCTCTGAGAAAGTAAATTTTAAACCAAAAATCTAAAAAATGTACATACCTTTTAACCAAATACTTCTATTTCTGAGACTTAATATGTTAAAACATAATAAAATTAAAAAGAATAATCCTTCAAAATAAGAAAATTAATCAAGTGAACTAAATTAAGATCCTTTGTTCATCAAAAGACACCATTAATGCCCTGCTGGTGTGGTGCAGTGGCTGAGCATCAACCCATGAACCAAGTGGTTCAATTCCCAAACACATTGCAGGCTCAATCCTCAGTAGGGGGTGTGCAGGAGGCAGCCCATTGATGATTCTCTCTCATCATTAATGTTTCTCTCTCTCTCTCCCTCTTCCCTCCTCTCTCTGAAATCAATAAAACCATTTTTTTTAAAAGACACCATTAAGAGTTAAAAGGGCAAGCTACCTACAGAGATGGGGAAGATATCTGCAACTCATATAACCCCAACAAAGATCTTGTAGCTAGACCATAAGTCAGTAAGAAAAGGGCAGCCCAGAAGAAAAATAGGCATAAAATGCAAATATGGCATTATGCCAAAGAGGATATCCAACGCTCACATTAAAAGGTATTTAACCTAACAATAAAAGAAAGACACAAAATTATGTAAATTAAAACCACAATGAGGTATTATCGCATCCTTAAAAGGATAAAATTAAAGTTTAGCAATGCCAAGTAGTGTTATTGTGGATGTAAAACAGTTATACTGAAAATGGATCCAACCATTTAAGAATAGTTTGGCATTATCCGGTACAGTTGAAAATACAAACATCCTATGACTCAGCAATGTCAGTCCTAGGTTTGGATTCCCTAGAGAAATACATATTTATACACATCAAAATTCACATCCAGATATTAATGGCAGCATCGTCTGTAACTTGGGCTATAAACAACCAAAGTGTCCATCATCAGTAGAATCAATACATGGTTAGTGTGCTCAATAAATGGACACTATAAAATAAAAAATGAATGAACTACAACTACTCACAGCAATATGGGTGGTTCTTAAAAACAAATGAAAGAATAGAACAAAAGAATGCATAACGTAATTTATTTCATTTGCAAAAAGTTCAAAACAGACAAAATTAAACTATAGTGTTGGAGATGCAAATATAAGTAAATAACAATAAAGAAAAGCAAGAAGCCCAGCAGGCATGGCTCAGTGGATAGTGTGTCAGCCTGCGGAGTGAAGGCTCCCAGGTTCGATTCCAGTCAAAAGCACATGCCTACGTTGCAGGCTCAATCCCCAGTGTGGGGCATGCAGGAGGCAGCCGATCGATGATTCTCTCTCATCATTAATGTTTCTATCCCTTTCCCTTCCTCTCAGAAATCAATTAAAAAAATATTTTAAAAAAAGAAAAGAAAAGAACTTCTATGAAGTCAGGGGAATGGAGGGTGTTGTAATTAAGAAGAGGTACACGGTGGCTCCTGGCCATGTTAGATGTCTTGATCTGAGGAGTATTTAGAAAAGTGTTTACAGGCATACCTCAGAAATATTGTGGGTTCGGTTCTAGATCATCGCAATAAAAAGTAACGTGAATTTTTTTTTTAAATATATTTTATTGATTTTTTAGAGAGAGGAAAGGAGAGAGACAAGGAGTTAGAAACATCAACGAAGGAGAAACATCGATCAGCTCCCTCCTGCACATCTCCTACTGGGGATGTGCCCGCAACCCAGGCACATACCCTTTACCGGAATCGAACCTGGGACCCTTCAGTCCGCAGGCCGACGCTCCATCCACTGAGCCAAACCGGTCTCGGCAACATGAATTTTTTGTTTTCCAAATGATATGAAAGCATGTTCACACTATACTGTAGTCTATTAAGTATACAATAGCATTATCTCTAAAAACACAATGTGCCCTGGCTAGTGTTCTCAGTGGTTAGAACATCAGCCCAGCAACCAAATGGGTCTTGGGTTCGATTCCCGTCAGGGACACATACCTGGGTTGCAGGTTCAATCCCCAGCCCTAGCCGCGGCACATACAGGAGGCAGCCAATCGATGTATCACTCTGATGTTTTCTTTCTCTCTCCCTCTCTCTCGCCTCCCTCCCTCCCCTCTACTCTCTCTAAAAATCTACCTTAATTACAAAGTATTTTATTGCTAAAAAATGCTAACCATCATCTAAGTCTTCAGTGAGTCATAATCTTTTTTTGCTAATGGAGGGTGTTATGGCTAGGGTGGTGGTTGCTGAAGGTGGGGTAGCTATGGCAATTTCTTAAGACAACAATGAAGTTTGAAGCATCGACTGATTCTCCTTTCATGAACAATTTCTCTGCAGCATGCAATGCTATTTGATAGCATTTAATCCACAGCAGAACTTCTTTCAAAACTGGAGTGAATCCTCTCAAACCCTACAACTGCTACAACTAAATTTATGTAATATTCTAAATCCTTTGTTGTCATTTCAACAATCTTTATAAGATCTTCACCAGTAGTAGATTCCATCTCAAGAAACCACTTTCTTTAATCATCCATGAGAAACAACTCTTCATCTGTTGAAGTTTTGTCAGGAGATTGCAATTCAGTCACACCTTCAGGTTCCACTTCTAATTCTAGTTCTCTTGCTATTTCCATCACATTTGCAGTTACTTCCTCCACTGAAGTTTTGAAGCCCTCAAAGTCATCCAGGAAAATTGAAATTAACTTCTTCCAAACTTCTGTTAATGTGGATATTTTTATCTCTTCCCATGAATTATGAATGTCCTCAATGGTATCTAGAATGGTGAATCCTTTCCAAGAGGTTTTCAATTTATGTTACCCAGATCCATCAGAAGAATCACTATCTACAGCAGCTATTATAGCCTTAAGAAATGTACTGCTTAAATAATACTTGAAAGTCAAAATTACTCATTGACCCATTGGCTGCAGACAGATGTGTTAGTAGGCATGAAAACATTAATCTCATTGTACCTCTCCTTAAGAGATCTTGGGTGATCTTCTGTTGTAGTGTCTCAGAATTAAATGAGGAAGAACAATATTTTTTGTTAAATTTATTTTTATTGCCCGGCTAGCATGGCTCAGTGGTTGAGCGTTGACCTACGTACGACCCAGGAGGTCATGGTTCAATTCCTGGTTCTATCGGCGTGGCTCAGTGGTTGAGTGTGAACCTATGAACCAGGAAATCACGGTTCAATTCCCGGTCAGAGCACATACCCGGGTTGCGGGCTTGATCCCCAGTGCAGGAGGCAGCCAATTAGTGATTCGCTCTCATCACTGATGTTTCTATCTCGCTCTCTCCTTTCCTCTCTGAAATCAATAAAAATATATTTTAAAAATAATAATAAAAAAAAGAAATGAGCTTGTCCGGCTGTCAGAGAAAGAAAAGAACTTGCGCCCTAACCGGTTTGTCTCAGCGGATAGAGCGTCGGCCTGCGGACTCAAGGGTCCCAGGTTCGATTCTGGTCAAGGGCATGTACCTTGGTTGCGGGCACGTCCCAGTGGGGGGTGTGCAGGAGGCAGCTGACCCATGTTTCTCTCTCATCGATGTTTCTAACTCTCTATCCCTCTCCCTTCCTCTCTATAAAAAAATCAATAAAATATATTTTAAAAAAAAGAAAAGAACTTGCATGTTGATGTAGGAAGAAGCTAGGTGGGACAACAGTTGAAATCTACAGTAAAAACCAGATGGTCCAAGGTGTCCTGTAGGCTGTAAAATGCTGTGTTAATC